TGTACCATGTACCCCCTGAGAACGGTGTGATCATGCTATAATATTTAAAGAAGTGCTAAAAATTTTTCAGATTGAGTTATATTTTCTGAAAACCAAGTTTCACTGAGAAAGAGCAGTGAAATCGAATTTAAGCAAGAGAAATTGTGAAATGCAATTTTTGGAAAAATTGCACTTAGATCTGCAGTTTAGCAGCATACAGTTTAGTCATTCGGATTGTCTGTTAACTTTGTACTATAACTTCATGTTTTATAATGGGAAATTTTTTTAATCTTATCTTCATTCGGATTTTCTGTCGGTTGAATTTTGTTATAAAACTTCTGATTTTTTAATGTTAAATCTTCTTTTAAATTCCTTGTCTCGATCATACGATAACGTTTTTGAGAGGATTGTTTTCTCCATTTTTGATTGGTAGGAGTAACAAAATTTTTGATGCAGACGAGATATTTGTATGATTGAAGATGATGGCTTCTGGCAATTAAATTTTACTTTAAAAACGGTATTTGCAGTGGTGATAAGAATAGGTCGACAAAAAAACCCACTTTTCTGAAAAATAATTTTGGAAAATTTTCGGTACTGGCAAACCAATTTTCCGCTAAGAAAGCCAAAAACTAGTGGAAGACAACCGTTTTACAGACCGTACAGTACATACAATTGTTCAAGCGTTGGGGGGGGGCTACGCCTTAAAAGTTCCATCGGCTAATATTGCCTCTGAGTTGAACAGCAATTTCAAGTTTTTATCGGATGCGAAGATTGTAACACCGCAAACCAAGTCAGAACCGCTCTTTTTTAAAATTTGGGCGACATTTGTCGGTTATAGAAACTTCTGACATATTTGCTGGTTTTGAAGGTATTTTTTTGACCCGAGTTCGTCGATATAGACCTCATTTGATTGATTTGTAGTCGGGTACGACGGACGTACTCTGATCGAGGGCATTGTGGTAACTAGTTCTTAGGAGGTTTGACGGATCGCCATTTGTATCTCCTACAACTTTAAGCGGAAATTTTTTCTTGATATATCAGTTTTGTCATGGTTATGATTGTGTTCTCCAGGAAGTTTTCGATCTCGTTGAACGTAGTCGATTTACCCATACGGACCATACAAATTGACGAATTGTAGGACAAGCATTTCTAGTAAATGGCTTTCGAAGTTTTAGAAATTATATTTTATTGATAATTTTCAATAATAATATTTTACCTCTTTTTGAGAATCTCAAATTAACTTGGTTTTCTATTTGATTTTTTGATAAAAATAATTTATTTTAATTATATTTAGCAACAATATAAATTTGAACTTTTGGTTTTTTATTGTAAGCTGTACGTTATGTTTATTACATACTTAATTCTTAACACAAAAAATACTTTCGCAATTGGGAGTTCATCCGACGACCCACCGCCTTTTGAGCGTGTAATCTACCTCCAAACTAACGCTCATTGTAGGTGCGACTGATTTTTTTTGGACTTATGCGACCGATGTATCATTTTGGGGAGCTATGTGCCAGTCGGTCATATCTGGAAGTTTGACCTTGAGGAATACGAAATACCTAGTTTTGGGATGAAGTTTAATTTTTCAAAAATTCGAATTGAGCCTGTCATGCTCAACTTTCTCGCGACAACTGAAAACATCAGAAATAAAATCAGAACGACCGAATCGCAATTGCGGGAATGTGACAAAAAAATTAGCGGGAAATTGCTATTCGCAATTTCCGAGATTGTAGTAAAAAACACGAGAGTAGAGCTGTCCTATCTTGATATAGGAGACAGAGTGATTACGAAAGAACATCGAAATCCAGCTGAACCAGAGTGAAACTTCAGTGGAAAGGTAGACAACTGAAGTTTCCCAATGGTTCAGACCCAAAACTATATTCTCAAGCTAAAACTCATTTCCTTGAATTGGAATTCATTGATAGCAAACTTCTCGAGTCATATTCAATCGTATTTATGCTAGATTTACTAATTAGCTTAATTACTCTGATTCTCAAGTGTGCTGCTATGTGAGTACCTAATTTGAGTACCTAATTCTTTCCCGAGTGTATTTTGTGATAATTATGTTTAGATAAGGCGAGTTTTAGGTTGATCCATCTGAAATAGATCAAAATTTCACTGTCCAATAAAATGTAACTTAACGGATTGTTCCGACCCTGTTTTTAACAGGGTTCGTGTATTTTGGGTATTTTGAGACCTAAGTATGGAGACGTTCTTATTTTCTAGAGTGGGAGGGGGTTGTTTTGGTAGTGGCTTTTAAGCTGTAACGGGTTTTAGTCTCATGTTGCAAGTGAACCGAATTGGCTCCGACCGTTTTGAGGTAGAAAAACACAAGAGATAGTGTCCCTGACTCCTGAGCCAATGGTTATAGGGCCTATTTTTCTTAAGCCTCATATGTGACCGAAGTAGGCGACTGTTACATAGTGTTTTTATGGCGCTCCTGGGTATTTTTACGACATCATGACTACGGAGTCGAACCCACTTGACACAGCTCCGGGCTACATGCCCATTCTAGAGTACCTTGACAAGTTGTACGGTTCAGCGGGAACGTGTAAGCCTTCCGGTTGTACCGTAATAGCTTTTTAAGAAAACTCGAGAAAGTTTCCTGGTACGCTCTCCGAACGAGGTTTAGCTAACCGAGTAAGGGTGGGGGGTGCGGGGGTAACTAGGGGGACAAAAACACGAGCAAAAAGACAAAAAACAAAACAAAAACAAGAAAAAAGAATAGAAAAAGGAACAAAAACCGTAAAAAAATTGACAGTGACTTTGACACCAGATTAGTTGGATCAAACCTTTATATTAATTAAGTAGTATACCCATACTGTTTTATAAGACCGATCGTTTCGATCAACCTAGCAATCTAATCCAGCAACCTCAATAAGGTGCCCGAGTGGGGGGCGTTGCTAAGGGTTTTCAGATAGCTTGCAACTTAGCTGGACAACTAGGAGACTTGACTGGAAGAGGTGACCAGCCGAGTGAGAAAGTGCTTCACAAGGATTGAGCTGAACCGCTAGGAGACTTGACTGGGATAGGTGACCAGCCAAGTGGGAAGGTGGTGCTGATGACAAGTGCAGTGCACGTCAAGGAGACAACGAGCACGGGACCGGTACAACAAGAGGAGGACGCGCAGGGGTGTTCTCAAGTTGGACAAACGGGTATCATAAAATCCACATCACACTATAGGAAATAAGTGTAAAATTGGATAAGCGGAACCCCATTGTTTTGAGGAAGTTTTTACTCAAGCAGGCCTGGAAACAGGTCTACGGTTTTCTCTCGAGAGGTTTAGCACCCGGCGCTTAAGGGAATTTTCGGCTTTAGAGGGGGGCTAAAGAGGGGGGAGGTTAGAAGGGGGGCTGGTTAGGTAAGAGGTTGGTGGTTGTAAAGTGTAAAAAGGGGGGACACATTAGAGTAACTAATTGATCGGCATCGTCGATTTAGTTACATAAGATTCTTACACGCGTCGGTTATAAAAACGGATATCCAAATTTAACATCGAATTAAGGTAGGTACCCTGGTCGGATCGGTAGGGGAGAACGGACATAGACAGTTTTTGTGATACCCCATAAGACCGCTAGCAGGGGGGAGGAAAACGCGTGGCAATCAAGTACCAGACGTTTTTTTCGGACAAAGGTTGACATCTGTCAGCTCTGAATTTTTGGGTGGGCTCATCTCTCTGTTTTTATAGTTTTTCCTTATTAAGTTTTTACGTTTTGGTGAGAATTTGTTATTGGTATTTGAACGAACAGGTGATCACAAAATACCTGCGAAGAAGTTGGGTTTAAAATTGGGTTTCAAATTGATAAATACAAGGGGCTCAGTATTTGAAGCTTTTGGCCATTAAGATATGGTTTTCGGAAATTTTTTTTTCTAGAGCTCAAGCGGTGGTACACGGCACAGTGGTTCAAGAGTCCCCACAACGAAGAGGAAGAAATCCTACTATCCAGACACTTGGTGACAAGTCTTGGGACAGTACCGAAGAAGTCTTTGGACAGTGCAGTCTGGGGACGGTCTTGGAGCAGTGCAGTCATAGGACAGTCTGGGGACAGTGCAGTCTTGGGACAGTCTTGGGACGGTGCAGTTTTGGGACAGTCTTGGGCCAGAGCAGTCTTGGTAAGGTCTTGGGACAGTACGGTATTGGGACGGTACGGTCTTGGGACATTGTAGTCTTGGGACAGTGCGTTCTTGGGACAGTGCGGTCTTAGGACGGTGCAGTCTTGGGACGGTGAGGTCTTGGGACACTGGTCTTGGGACAGTGGTTATGGGACAGTGAGCTTGGGACAGTGCTCTTGGGACACTGGTCTTGGGACAGTGGTCTTGGGACACTGGTCTTGGGACAATGGTCTTGGGACAGTGGTCTTGGGACAGTAGTCTTGGGACAGTAGTCTTGGGACAGTAGTCTTGGGACAGTAGTCTTGGGACAGTAGTCTTGGGACAGTAGTCTTGGGGCAAGGGTCTTGGGACAGTGGTCTTGGGACAGTACTCTTGGGACAGTAGTCTTGGGACAGTAGTCTTGGGGCAAGGGTCTTGCGACAGTGGTCTTGGGACACTAACAAGAAGTACTGGGACAGCACCGAGTAGTCTTGGGACAGTAGAGAGAAAGCTTGGGACAGTACGTAGAGGTGTTGGGACAGCACAAAGAAGTGGTGTGACGGTACTAAAGGTACAGGTCGAAATAACTGAATCAAAAGCAATAGGACTAGTCGGAACGTTAAATCGCGATAGATCGGATACTGTTGGGGTCACAAATTAGTAAAATTTTAATAAATCTTATAAGGAATAGGAAACTAGTTTTTCTTTTTATTTTCAAAAATTTTTATTCTTAGAATAGGATTTTGTAAATAGCAATATTGTAAATAGAATCAATTGTAAATAAAAATCATGAGACGAAGCAGGGTACCGATTGCTGAAAAAAGAGCTACAGAATCAAACACGAAATATAACTCGTCGCGACGAAAAATGACATCGGTTGGCCCAAGAATATCAAAAAAGAATTTTTAAGTTAGCACGGTCAAAACAAGGAGTACTAGAGAGAACAAGACAAAAGAGGGCGCGGAAGGGAAACAAGCGGAACCCGCCAACGAGATTGACCTAGAAACACCAGACCAGAGTGTGGATGAGGTGAAGAAGAAGACGACGGAGTCGACACCGATGCCGAATACAGAGGAACCAAATCAAAAGTCGACGGAGTTCTCGCCGATAGACACTGTGGAGGACACAACAGGCAACACGCCAGAAACGGTAAAGGACGAGTCTCAAGCAAAAAGAACGTCATTTACTGAAAGGTTGGCAATGATGGTCGGGATGAAATCAAGAGACATAGTGACGGAGGAACCGAAAGTCGAGAAAGGCAAAACATTCGGAACAATTTCCACGAAAACGACAGAGACCAACCAAGACGAAGACCAGGTTAAACAGGGAGCAGCAGCCAACAACAGGGCAACAGCTGACCATGAGACAACAACTTCTCTTGAGCTGGGCGATCTGATGGCGAAGCTAGATCAGATCGACAAGAGACTAAAGCACAGTGAGAAGGATAGAGATGTGATAAAGAAAGAATTAGGATACAACAAACACGAGTACCTGGACAACTATTTCAATCTGGCGAAAGCGACAGAGGAAAAGCTTCAGCAGATGTCAGACAAAGTAGATGCCACTGATGGAGAGCGAGGCAAGAACATCAAAAAAGACATGCAAGAGATGAAGCAACGGTATGACGCAGTAAACAGCCAGTTGGAGAGTCTGGAAACGAGAATGGACACAATGAGTAGGGACCAGGCTGAGAGTTCATGTGCAATACAGGCAAAACTAGACGCCATCTTGAGAAACTCTACGTCACAGGACAGGCCGGCGGCGGATCGAACGCAAGGCAACAGAGTCGACTTCGTGGAACCACAAAGGAACAAACGGCAATCAACACCGTTACCATTACTCCGGGATGCGGCGAGCACAGCACCGGGGGGGCAAAGCAATTATGAAAAGTGGAAGAGCAAATACGGCGGGTAGTCCAGGAGATTCCACGACTCACAATAACGTGGGACCGGATGCTATGACTTTGGCAAGCACCTGGGAAATGATAAACAGGACACTAGAAGCCTTCGCCACAAGGAACACCGACTCGAGTGACAGAGGAGGTAGCAAATCCAGGAAAACTTTCAAAAAACCGAAGGAAATCAAGGATGATTCAGACAGATGCATTGATACTTGGGTAGAAGTCATGAGATTACACTTGGAACAAGACAATTTGAACGATGAGAGAGAAGCATGCACAGCGACACTCAGCAATTTAGAAGGCACGGCGTTGAAATGCGTAGTTTCGAAGAAGGAAGAGGAACGCGACACTGCGGATAAAATCTTCGAGATATTGTTGAATCGATTCGGGTCAGGCATGAAGGGTCATTTTGCGATGGTGCGAGTTGAAAAGAGACGGCAAAGGAACGATGAGTCGATTGATCGGTTCCTAGATGATCTCGAGAGCTCGAGACGAAGAAGTGTTCCTGAAGAGTCAACGAACAGAAGAAACTTTAGCATCGCCTCCAAGGTCGTTGATGGGGTAAAAAGTGATGACTTGAGAACAATGTTAGCAACTTACTACACATTGTCGAAAGACAATGCACCGACTCCAGAAGAGATGAGACAGAAGTCAAGAGAGTACATGTTAATGAAGCCCAAGAAATACACATATTCGGATAACAGGAACATGCAAGGGGGGAGCCAACCACAAAGGTCGTCATGGTACAAGCCTAGAGATGACATGGACAAACGTAGATCATGCGCGAACTGCGGATCAGCTGATCATCACGTGGCGGATTGCACAACATACAAGCAGGGCATGAAGAGTCTGGGATATGCGCCAGATGAGGAAGATATGAGCCAGATGGAGGAACACGAGTACTAAAGTGGCTTAATCATCAAAATAGGTGCAAGATGCTTCTTCTGCAATCAGGAGGGGCAATTCAGGAAGTTCCTTGTCACTTCATGTCCACCTACAGTGACTATCGACATTACCCTGGCTCCGATTTGCGATGGTGAAGCGGAACGAGGAAGTTTTTTCGAGACATAAGGCAGACTTCGGGTGTTTTAGTTTTGTTGAGCATGAAATAGAACTTGAAGAGAATGCGGTACCACACAGGGAGGGGCGAGGCGCATGACCGCACACAAATGAGAGGCATGTAGGAAAGAAATAGAAAAATTACTAGAGTATGACATGATAGAGCCATCCAAGTCACCGTGGGCGTGTGGAGTAGTGATGGCCAAAAAGAAAGGCGACCAATTGAGGTTTTGCTGTGACTTTCGGTATCTGAACTCCGTCACGGTGAAGGATGCCTACCCCATACCTAGGATTGGCGAGAGCCTCTCGAAGCTAGGTGACGCAAAATTTTTTACGACTCTTGATTTAGGTTCGGCCTTCTGGCAGGTCCCGCTGAGGAAGCAAGACAGGGACAAAACAGGGTTCGCTTGCGAGTTGGGGCTGTTTCAATGGAAACTGATGCCGTTTGGTCTTTGCAATGCCACGGCTACATTTCAACGGTTGATGGCACATGCGCTGATAGGTGTGACAAAGAAGTACGGCAATCTGGTAATGTGCTATGTGGATGACATGGTGATAGCGACGCCCACACTAGAAGACCACATCGAGCGACTGGACGAGGTGTTTGCATGTATGAAGAGGTCGGGGCTAAAGTGTAAGCCAACAAAATGCGAGATACTGAAGGATTCGATAAAATACTTGGGCAAGATGGTGGACAGGCACGGCATCAGACCGGATCCAGATGCAGTAGAAGCAGTTCTAACTTGGAAATCACCAAAAACGGAACACCAGTTGATGAGCTTCCTGGGTTTTGCGAACTACTACAGGGAACTCATCAAGGGCTATGCGGGCAAGGTATACCCGATGCAACAATTAATGAGACACAAAGGCAAAATGTTCACATGGAACAACGCAGCAGAAGAATCATTCCAGGGAATAAAGAAAGAGTTGTGCGAGGCAACGGTGTTAGGGATGCCAACGGAAAAAGGGACTTACGTTGTGGATACGGATGCGTCGGTAGTCGCGATTTCTGGAAATCTCCATCAAGAACAAGAATGGAACGGGAAGACAGTCTTAAGACCAATAGCATACGGGAGCAAGTCTTGAGTGATACGGAAATGAAGTACGGGGCGCCGAAAGCAGAGATGTTCGCGGTGGTTACTTTTGTCAAGAAATACAGAGCATAATTAGGCAGTGAGCCATTTAAGCTGCGGGTCGACAACAGAGCCTTCAGCTGGCTGAAGACGTGCTCGATTGACCAGAGCTACATTGGGAGATAGATAGTTCGCCTGGATGGTTGCAACATTACAATTGAGCATAGAACAAGGGACAAATATCAGAATGCCGATAGTTTGAGTAAGAAGACGGAGTTCTACGAAAGACAGGAACAGAGGGATGCGGATAGGCCCGAAATCAAAGATGGCTTCTCCTTCATGGACAAAGAAACGTATGACAGTCTTCCACTCTCGAGGTGGCTAGACAAGTCAGGCGAACCAATAGAAGATCACCCCGAATTACCAGAAGAGCCTCCAAAGAAAACAATCTTGAAGAAGACCCGAGGAATGCCGATAGAGATTATGTTCAAGTCAAAAATCGTGAGAGAGACGCTCAAGGCAAAATGAGCGACCCGAGAGAGACGCTATGATCTCAACCAAGTGGAAACGGGATATACTCAGATAGATGAAGACTTGTGGAGATTACTTGAGAAACCGGAAGTCACGATACTGCGAAGTAATGGAGCAGTTGGCAACGCAGACTCTTTAAGAGGAAGCAATACTGATGGAAAAGAAGTCGTGCGGTCACTGGTTGACAAAATCCCCGAAAACATACTTCAACGGACTCAGGTTAGGAAAAAGAAAGTGGCGTTTAAGGAAGAAGCTGAACACCTGGGACTAGGTCAAGAGTCCGGGGAGTGGTCCACGTCCACGGAGGAAGAAGAAACCGGAGAAGAGAAATTGTCCGGGGAGTGTGAAGTATAGGTTGAAGATTCGGAAAAGAGTAGCGATGATCAGGATAGTCTATGCATGATACTGGCAGAGGAGAAGATGAGACACCGCGACAAGGAGCTACAAACAGATCCCTCCTCAGGAACGTACAACTCGGATGAACAAGAAGTACAAGGAGGTGAAGAAATTGAGAAAATTGCGGTATCGAGGAAACCATTCAGGGAACTATCGTGCAACTAAAATGTCAGAACAAATCTGGTGCCAGAAGATGATACGAGGATCTTGAAGAGGATAATATGCGTAAAGCTGAGGGATGACATCCACAACCCTGGGGAAATGAATGGACAGATCATGGCACTAAAGGAACATGTCAAAGCGAGATATAGGCTGTCGGACCTGATAAGGGCCCAAAAGAATGACAAGATGACAAGTAACCTCTCCAAATGGATCAGGACAGGGTCCAAGGAGAAAGGGGACCTGGAGGAAGACAGCTACAAGATCTTGAGCCAGTTCTACAAAAAAGAAAAGATTTACTCTATCACACAGCTGATGGGGTGGTAGCGTGCAAGAGAAAAGATGAGGAGAAGATATTACACAAGCACAACCTCATCATATTACCACAATTGTATCAGACGGAAGTGTTATTCAGATCGCACGATCGGATAGGGCACCAGGGGATAGACAAAGTGCAACAGAGAATACTTCACAGGTTTGATTGGCCAGGATTAAGGAAAGCTTGCGAGAGATGGGTGAATGCATGCCTGGCATGCCTGCAAGTAAAAGACCCAAGGAAAATGAAGTTCCCACTCAAATCCATTGAAAGCTCGGAATTTAACGGGGTGGTGCAGATAGACCATCAAAAAATCTGCATGACAGAGTCGGGATAATAGATCACTTCACAAAGTTGGCAGAAGCGGTCCCGTGTCAGACAGCCTCAGCAGAGGAGACTTGTGACCACCTGATAACGCATTGGATATCACGATATGGTCGTCCAATGACTTTTCAGTTGGACAACGGCAAAGCCTTTGTGGGAGACTTGACAAAAGAACTGAAGAAGAGGTCACACATTGCTCAAGCACACTCGACAACCTACCATCCTCAGACCAACGGGCTGGTAGAGAGACAGAATAGAACGTTGGTGAACATGCTGAGGGTATACTGCTCAAGATACATGACGGACTGGGATAAATATCTGCCACAAGTCGCAGGGGAGTACAACAGTACGCAACACTCAACAACGGATATAGGTCCTTTCATGATGTTGACGGGCAGGGAGAGAGCAATGCCCCTGACAAATTTTTAACCCGGAATACGAAGGGAAGAGGAAGTCGCCTCAAGCTTACGTGAAAGAAGCGATCAACAGACAGCAGGAACTAAACGAGCTCTGCAGGAGGAACACTGCGCAAGCACAAAAGAGACAGCGCAAGAAATATGATGAAAATATACTACAGGCGAAGCCATATGAAGTGGACCAGTACATGTGGGTTTTCCAGAATGTAATACCGCCCAAAGGGACAAAAAAAGTACTTAAGAAATGGAGGGGACTATTCATGATAACGGAAGTAGACCAACAAGGACGGTTCTGCCGCTTGAGTACGGGGCGAGCGGCACATTATGAAAATCTGAAGCCTCACGTCCCATCCCCAGAGGACTGGTGTACACCACAGGACATGGAAGGACTGGAGTACCTACTGGTGGAGCCAACGTGTGAAGTGAACGAAAAAAGCACCAGAGAGAAAAATGATGGCAACCAGAAATTGAGTTTGGATGACAATGAAAAAATAGAAGCGGACTCTGAGGCGGAATCCTTTGTGGAAGAAGACTGGAACGATCCGGAGCAGGGAGAGGTGCCAAAGTGGACAGAACCAGACTACCAGCGGGGACTAGGAGTGGCAATCGCAAACGGACAGGCATGAGTTACAACAGGTACGGAGATGATTTCTTGATTGATAAGATACAGCCCGATGAACTAAGCGAAGAGCTACTAAGTGTGGGCGAACTAGCAGCCGACGGTGAATGGCAAATTATCAATGATTATGAACACTACCCGCAGGAAGACTACTCGACACCAGAACGAGAGACTGCTTTGGAACAGTGCGAGATAGAGAGCAGGGAGAATACAAACTTGAGGATATTAGAATGGATGCACGATGTCAAGAACGGAAGCAGCGACGGACAAAGCATCCAACAAGTCGACGTATCAGCGGGAAAGCACATGAAAACGGAGGATCCCCTCTTCGGCTGGACAGCAACAGACAGGGCGCTCGAGATTCCACCAGATATTCCACTTACCCACACCGAAAATTTGATGATAAAGAAACTCAGGAAAGTGAGAGAACTGAGCGAACTGGAACTGGATGGGGAGGAGGCTGAGCCTACCATAGGACGGAATTTAAAAAAGAAGTTTGAAATACCCAACGAATACTCGGAGAACATCCTGATAACGGACAGCGACTTCATTCCATCGGACATGACCAGCGCAATCTGTATCACGGCGGATATGAGTTTCAAATCAAGACTGGAGGCCGACTTCAAGAGAGAATACCAGAACGGGGAGTTTCTATTCAGACAGAGACCGGGGCTGGGAGGAATGGTTGCGCTTCCACCATCAGTAGCTCAAGTCCCAGGCAAATACCTGTGCTTCTTAGTGACGAGGGTAGTGAGAGGAACACGATCGATCCTGAACACGCGATGTTGGCACTAACGAGAATGCGAGACTTCATGATCGAAAGAAGAATAACGGAAGTCTCAGAATATAAGCTATCCTACACGTGGTCTTCGCAGAAACGGAGATAATGGTACATCTGCACAAGAAATACTACTTGAGTATCGCCTGAGTCGGGTACATGGGGGTCTCGAGTTGGGCATGAAGGGATCTCAAGTTAGGTATTGGGGCACGGAACAGGTAAAGGGATCTTAAATGTGATTGGCATGACAGTCAATTTTTAAAACATAATATGAATCTGCATGCTCATAGGAAATTTCCAATTGAATTATTTTAGTAGAACGAAAGGATAAGGTTTAACTATAATAATGGGGGGCTTAGGTTAGGAACATAGCATCTTAGTCTGAAGATGAAGTTTTATTTTCAGATTGATTTGGTAAAGTCAAGTTGACTACCCAACTATGTTCAACTGAAAGAGAAAAGAAGGTCTTGAACAAACCCACAGTCAGCAACATTTGCAAAGGTTATTTCTCAAGTACTCAAGTTGGTACGATAATTCTCAAGTTGGTACCGTAATTCTCAAGTTGGTACGGTAATACTCAAGTTGGTACGGTAATACTAAAGTTGGTACGTGCGCAAAATCATCTAGAGATTCTAAAAATGGCAGATCGATTTTGGAAGTCCATGCCCGCGGCTCTGAAGAGGCCCACTCGTGATGAATTATACTGACGCTTGAGGGACCTGGATTATACCCAAGTGGATGAGAGAATGGCAGTGATGCGGAACGCCATCCTTCAATTGGAAGAGCAGGGTGAATGCAGGGAGTCTGCAACAGAAGCGGTTTTAATGGTCGGCTACAACACTGATGGCATATGCAACTAAGAGCAGACCAGATGGCTGTCCTGGAATGTGGATGGAGTGGTGAGAGGATTCGACTTGGCAAGGAATCCTGGCTTGAGCAATGACACCGAGTATGGCGCAGGGGAGTTCCCACTACCAACCAGACCATCGGCAAGGTCAGCGGGCCAACACACGAGTAAGCCACCCTCTATGACGCGAGCGCAGCGAACCTAAGAGGCGTATCCTGACCTCAGTAGTCTGAAAAGAGAACTTGGGAGGACACAAAGGGAGAGGAACAAAGCAAATCTTGACCGGGATCAGGCGAAGCTCGAGAGGAATCAAGCGAATCTAGAGAGATATCAGGCGATCATTCTCGATATTCTGAAGGCCGAGCACCAGCAAGAACAAAGGGTGCGAGAGAATGCGGCGAATTGCGAACAGCTAAAGTCGGAACTTGATAAAATCCAGCGGCGACAACGAGAGCTCGACATGCAAAAGGGAGCCAGACCCAAGGAGCGATCGGCCGCCGGTTCGAGGCCAGAGTCAAGTATGGAAGTGGATGAGGCTCCCAGATCGAAGGGACGGTTTAACCTAGACCGCGCTGCTCAAGAGCACATGAACGAGGGGTTGGAGGTATGGATAACGACTGAGTCAACGTCCTCCCTGCGTGGTTTAGAGACACAACCGATACGCCCATTGGTGGACGTAGCACTGCCTGGGTATACTCCGAGTTCAACCCCGATCGGCAGGCAGGTGAGCGGGAGCTCGTCGCGTCTGAAAGAATTGAATGAGAGACTACAGCTGAGAAATCGTGCGAGTCCAGCCAGAGTGGAGTTACGCCCGACTTGGAGGGAGCAACCGGTCAGGAGTGTGGTAATCGCAAGTGACAAGAAGAATACGGAGGGTTGATACCACAGGCACAACCGCATGGATTGGAACACAGCACAAAGAGCCAGGAGGGATTGCTTCCATGACGCGGCTTGGGTGGAATACTATACGCAACCACGTGTGCCGGAGGGTACGGTCCACCTAATCATAGGGGACAGCCTGCTGCGGGCGCTGACCCGGATTCAGTCGCATTGGCAGACTGGGATCTTGAGTTTCGCTAGAGCTGCAATGCCACAAATATTAGAATCACTCGAGATGCTAGGCATGGCTAGAGTATACACGGTAACTCTAATGATCGGGACTAAAGACGTGTCCAGGGGGGAGTCAAAGAAAGTCATGAGGCTACATGACAAAATGAGCTGTATCCTTGAGGAGTTACGGATTCAAATGGATCCTGCCATACTCACAGTTTGTACCATCGCTTAAAATATGAAGGCTGACCAACATGCGATGGAGATGATTACGAAAGTACGGAACCTGAACGAAGTAGTCAGGCAAATACATCAGAGGAGTGTCCTTCCCATTGGATTGCTGGATGTAGCCGAGCAAATGGAGCGAGCCGCCTTCCCCGACGATGCATCCTCAGATGGAATCCTTTTCGACAGGCCTAGGGGGTGGAATGTTTGAACGACGTTTTCCAAACGCACATAAGTGCATTGGAGGAAGACTTGCTTCAGACGGCCCAATTCACATTCGGACCACCTCCAAATCCCCCTTTGCTTGCCTCAAGAACCCTATCCAATCGCCTGGGGGCGAGGGTCGATTCAAGAGACAGCTCGAGAAGTAGCCGGACTAGATTACCGGGTTCCGCACCAATAAGGCCGAGGAAGCAACGTCACCAACACCC